ATGCTGCTTCTGATAGAAAGGTGTCAGAACACACAGGGCAGTTTGTTACATAAGGGGCTGCATAACATTATGGTGGTCATAATGTTATGGCTGATCGGTGTATATATTGGTTGGTTGGGTTAACAGTTTAGCGTCATGGAGGCGAGGTAGGAGATTGTGTAGAAGAATGTGCCCTCTGCGGATTTTGAAATAGCACCATTTATCATGTCCATGTCAGTTTCCTTGACCAGGCGTAGTAACCACTAACGAATAGAATAAGGACAGGTCGTCACCCCTCCAGTGTGACTGTGGCAGGGTCATCAATAACTTTAAGAAAAAGAGAGAGAAAAAAAGAAAATATTAGTAGAATGTAAAAAATATATGCCGGTGCTCTAAAATAGCACCATTTCTGTTTTGGTATCTGTCTGGGTAAAATTAACTGCAAGGCAGGTATATCATAATGGAAATTGTTCCTGCGTGACTCACACACCACAGTGCACATCCCATTCCATCATCACACCTTACTGACAGTTGAAACTATTCATGCATGTATCTGTTAAAACCACAGCTCGAGGTTTGAGCCAATTTCTTATCTGGGAGTTGACTGGAATGAGGATATGGTCCCTTTACTTACCAGAAAACGGACAAAACATTATTTGCCAGATCGTATGACAAGGACATAAGTCATCATTACTTGTAGGCTACATTAATCTCCAGGCAGAAGGAAATGTATGACAGTTTTTTTGTTTTTGTTTTGTTTTAATCTATACAATAATAAAACAATGCAGTGCCTTGATTATACAGCATTTTATAGTACAGTATTTTATTTAGCTAAAATGGCCTGATTATCCAGCTTGTACTCTCAAATATTCCTCATAAACACCTTAATAATCAATCTAAAAATGTCTGTACTACTTTTATTATCTCTGTGAAGATATTGGAATCCCTAAATATAAATTCACAGCTGGTAGCAAATACTTTCCTGGAGATTCAAAGAAATTTGATTTATTGCACACTGTATGAAAAGGTTGGTTGGACATCTGTCTCTAACAGGAACATTGGTTTAAATGTATTTATAAAGCCCTTAATGGAAACTAATCATATATCCCCTCCTTACAAAACTGGTTCCATAGTTATTGTTTAACTTGAAGTCCTGCGTGCAAGCGCTGAATCGGGGAAAGCTGCTTTTAGTTTTTGTGCTGAACACACTTGGAAAACTTTACAACACACCTTAAAACTAGGGCTGCCCCCCAACAGTTGACTAAACCGTTAAAAATGAACAGCGTCAAACTCTACAACTTTTTTGTTTGTTTATTTTGTTTTTGTGAAGTTATTTATTTCACATTTTGTGTGATGTTATACTGTTTAACTAAATGCTCAGCCTCCTTGCTGGTTGTTCTGTCACATTCAGAATTAGGATTTGAGAAGCGGCTGATATATATATGTGTGTGTGTATTTAAAAAATTCAATTAATATCATACATTTCCGATGATAAGTCCATTATTGGCTTTAACTAATGACTACTAAGTGTGTTAAGTATTTTTTGTGTGTATTTATTCTGTCGTACTCTCAGCATCATTGAAAATGAAGGCAGGTTGAATGAATGTATATACATTGTCCATATCAGAAGAAAATCATGGAAAATAACAGCTAGGCATCTAACTAGCATCTAACTGGTGCCTGACTAATAGCTGTATAGAATATGGTTATGTTTACAATACAGAGAGAGGTCTGACTCATTCCAAGTGTACTGGAAAAAGAACATTTACAAATGAAGCAATCAAAGTTTCACAAAGCCAGCATTGTAAAAGCATCACCCAGTCATCTTCTTAACTTGTGACTTCACATATCAATTATCTGTCTCCAGTACAAACTGTTCCTAAGGACATCTTTGACCAATCTCTGTCCTTTCTCTGTACACAAACCATGACACTGCTGAACAATATATGTATCATTTGACACCCAGGTGCATAATGTGCAGACTTAAACTTGTAACTTTGATTGTTTGCCATTCTTAGGAGTCAAATAATCTGGAAAACATTCTGTGTTTGAGGACATAGCCCACATTGTATAAGAAGACTATTACGTGTTTGAGTCAAAGGGGTGTTTAACTTGCTTAGCTCTGATGTCACATGATAAATAATGACACTGCTGACCTCAATAGGTGAATGAAAGAACACTTTGTAAGTTATAAATAATAACAGTCGGAACAAGAAATTCAACCCTAATATGTAATTAAAGCTTGTTGTAAAGCCTGAATATGAAAAAAAACTTTCACCCATGGTAGTTCCACAGTAATTGTAAGTGAGCAGTTAACCCCTCACACAACCAATAATATAAGAGTACTTATCCACTATGCACGCTGGAATTTGCTTTTTCACTCAACACCTTTTCTAGTCCAGGAGTGTCAAATTCAGACACTTTTGTTCATCTGTTGTACATTTTCATGCCTCAGAGTCAGTGGTGTGTCCTATTCAGAGTTGCAATGTCAAACCTTGTTGGACTGTCACAACAAACAAGCATGATGAGCAGAGGAAAGGTGAGGGGAGGATTTTGTATTTAATACACCAGGAGACAGTCAATCATACTGGCAAATTCATGCGGACGTGAAAATGTGATTAGCGGAGAAAGCCTACCTTTCCTTGTAGTAGGAAGAAAGCAAAGTGCGGATCTCAACAGATAAATCTGGAACCACAAGACCCTCTCTGGGGGCGGAGGGTGTTACTGAAAAAGGCAAACAGGAAGAGGATTAGCATTTTTTAAAGATATAAAACTCTCAAGCAAATATTCTAAACATATCCTTTTGTGAGTGGAATAATTTTCCCCAGGATGATCAGTGAATGATAACGGGGAATTTGGCGAAACATTTTTATTTCCGTTACTGCATTATTTTGTCCTCTCTTCCTTGTGAGAGTTTTTTTCTTGCAACCTGTCTTAAAGATAGGAATGGTCTTTAAAACATTTTGTCATTCAAACGACACTCTCACATTTTCGATTTTCAATACCAATTTGTTCCACTTGGTTGCTGCTATAGAATATAGGTCTATATTTTTCTGATCGGCATGACTGATGTTTTTGTCAACGGGTGGTGGAGATAATAAGCCTATTCATGCAGACAGAGTCTGACCTGTTGTTCCAGGTCATTGTTGGGCAGCCTTATTTATCTGTTTTACATCCTGCTATTTACTCAAACCCGTTTGTCAACTTATGTGAGGTGTCGCTCCAGCTTTCTGCCGATGAAGACAAAGCATGTGCAAATGAGCCATTACATTTCCCTTTTCATTATATTGTCTGAATTCCTGGCATGGAAAGATAGATGTACAAGTGTAAGCAGGCCATAAAAAGCTAATCTATGCATAGATATATATTGTTTATTGTTTGTATGTTGTAGGTTATGTATGCCATTTTTAGCTCCTTAACTACAAACGGTGTAACATTTTTGGATGGTATTGCATATTTCTTGCTGTTCGAGGCACCCATTTGTTTCTTTTAATTTCCACATGGAAATCAATTAACGGACTAATGAAACTTTCTCAAATTGTGTAGTCAGTCACAGTGAAGATTAAGTAGTGCAGTAAGCAGCTATAGCCATTCTTTTCATATTAAAAATGGATCACATGACCGCATCGCTCGTCATATCAGTCGACTCTGCATTTCCCCCCAGTCCTATGGATCTGATAGATTCATTTTATTACTATTTTGGTTTTACTGTTATGGTACATTCTGATCAGCATTTTGGCAGCAGCATGCAGCTGTTTTGACTGTATAAAAAATTGTAAACAATCCATGGTACACTATCTGCCATGTAACACACAGCAAATACCTGGTGAACGTAGTGCTGCATTTAGCATTGGCATTTAGACAAATATTTTCTTCAGGGGTTAGTGGTAAGTAAAACCAGGTGGTAAATTATTCAAGGTGAATGTTGGACTTGTTTGGGGGGGGACACAAACAAGACTCCAAATGAATGCTAATGTAGCTTAGTATCTGCTTTATCTTTAACTATACAACCATTTGCTAACAAGTTCATCATGTTTGTTTCTGCTGCCCCCAAGCAACCGAAAAATCATTTGTTGCAGCTTTAACTTATGCAGTTATGCAGTTTAACAGCAGATTGATTCGAAAAGTCTTCACTGTATTTTTAATGTAACTCTGACACAAATAAAAGCAGACTTGTTTTCACTGTAACGGATTGCACAACTCTGTCAAAACAGATTATGTCTACGTGCAGAAATGAATAAAGCAAATAAAAGACTAGCAGATGTACATTTAAATAGCAAAACCATTTTTTGCAAAATGTTAGGGGGTGAAGTAAGTGAGCGACTGAAAGCAAACAGGCTTCTGCTCGTGTTACTCTACCTATTTCGTGGTAGAGCGATCCCTGCTTTCCTGCCATGGGTTTCCTGGAACTCAACATTTCGATCTTCATGAGGCAATCACAACACTGGTTCCACTGGCCTGCAACAAATTGTATAAGCAGTGACTTTCAAAGAACATGAATGGCAAAGCTTTTGTCAGCAGTTAATCTTCTGTTGCATTATGTCTCTCTGCAGACAAGCAGATACATTGAGTTTACATTAATGGCCAAGCTGGTATTATCTCAATACTTATGCTACCTTGTGAATCTGTGACAAGACATAGAGCATGAGACGATGTAATAACTGTACCACATACCACATACCAGACAGGATTAGTAATAGAATACCTTTCCATGTTTACTCAGTATTCAATAAATAACTCTTTAAGACTTACAGTAATTATGGCAATAACTATTTGTGTTTGTGTTGTGCTGGTGTCCTGCAGACTTACACCTGACCGAGCCACAACAATTTCCTTGGCAAGACAAATATCTAGTCATCTAAACACTGTAAAGGATGATAACAAACCAAAGCTAAGCTCCCATACACCCCAGAAATAACCCCTTTAATTAAAATTAAATTAATTAAATTAACGAGCACTGTGATGGGAAATGGGCTCCCTGCCGTACAAGATAAGTGATCTTTGCGCACCTGTACGCAGATAGGTGTGTAAAAGTACCAAGATTTAGCTCCCATACATCATTTCTAATTGCCTGAGGAATGTCGATGTGCTAAAACAATTCAGTAAATCTATGTTAGTGTGCTGTGCCATTGTACAAATTTTCCTGTACTTTGCAGTTTGCACTAAGAACATACACATTATTTATTTCCAGTAAAACGATAGGTGCAAAGACAGTTAAATGGTAAACACAAAACTGCTTACAATCACACCTGTTGGGTATTGAACCCTGAAACTGGTGTGTGTGGAAACCGGCCACTACAGGGCTCCGGTCAAAGAACACGCAGTCATCAGTTCGTTTATAGTCTTTACTGCCAGAATGAGAATATTACAAACGATGCAGTATGATGGTGCATAACA